AGATTCAAATTAGAAAAAATTTTTAGAAGTTAGAGAACTACTCTATCTTAAAGTGATGATACTTTTATCTCTCTTTCTGGCCTATTTAAAAACAAACAAAACAGAAAAACGAGACACCATTGTTGCAATAGTAAACTTTTATTAGTGTCTCCCTGGCCCATGTGGCTCAGTTGGTTGGAGTGGTTGTTCCATAAACCAAAAAAGTCACGGGTTCAATCCCAGGTCAGAGCATGTGTAAGAGGCAACTGATCAATGTTTCTCTCCCTTTCTCTCTCCCTCTCTTCCCTTCTTTCTAAAATCAATAAGCATGTTCTCAGGTCGGGATTAAAAAAATAGTGTCATATAATCAACATACTACAAGAAGTATTACACTAACTGCTGACTTTCAAATATATTTTATAATGGCAATATAGACTTCAAGTATTGGGTACCAGAAAAATTAATCTGCATTATTTTTTTTAGCCCTGTTAAAAAGCCTTGCATTTTTCTAATTCCCAAATTTTGGGCTTTTGAGTGGTATTCCAACTGGGAATGGAGAAGTTTGTCACAAAGACAGCACTTAACATTACTGTATAGCCCTAGTTGGTGTGGCTCAGTTGGTTGAGGTGTCTTTCTATAAATCAAAAGGCTATCGGTTCGATTCCTGATCAGGGCTCTTGCCTAGATTTTGGGTTCCATCCCCAGTCTGGGCATGTACCAGAGGCAACCATCAATGTTTCTCTTCTCTCTCTCCTTCCCTTCCTCTCTCTCTAAATCAATAATCATGTCCTTGGGTGACAATAAAAAAAAAAGATTACTGTATAAACTAGAAGATTTATGAATCTGTTCTTTGGAATTCAGAACATATTACTCCTCAAGGGGCAACCATAAACCTGAATTAGCACTTATCCTATATATATGTTAATCTGCGGTGTTATATTTAAACACAGAGGGCGTATGTATAATTCAGTGCCTTCGGCACTTTAATATAAGATGCAAAATTTGCCCCTGTAATTATTCATAATACACCTTAATAACACTGAATAGGGTTCTAAACTTCAAATCCCACATCTGCTACTTTTATGAGACTACAGGGTAACCTCCTCCTGGAATTAGCAGTGGACAGAGAAAATTAACAACTCTATTACTTACCCTATCAAAGCAAGTGTTTTCACAGTCCTCTGATCTCCGACATTAAGCACTCCATTTTTATTTGTAAATAAAAACAGCAGAGGCAATATCTTAACTCTGTTAAGGAATACAGGGCATTTGACAAACACCCATTTTCTCTAATCAGTTCCTCAAAACTATTGCAATATGATCTTTACATTCTCACTTGGGAAATTTTCATAACATCACACAAGGCAGTTATCATAAAACTCCTATTTAAGAAATTCTATAAAATGGTGGGAGGTGGCTGTCCTCTAAAATGCATTACGTACTTTGAAAACAAATACTTAGTTGTTTTCTTCAGCTCTGAACTGTCAATATTCAGAACACATAATCTCTAACTCCAAATTTTGTTCTTTTTAATCCTCATCCAACAATATGTTTATTGATTTTATTTTTTATTGTTTTTCAAGTATGGTTGTCTCCATTTTCCTGCCACCACTTTCCCCCACCTCCCCACCCCCAACCTCCCATCAGAAAATTATAAAATGGATAGCATCTGGTGTAAGCACTTCACATTTAACAAATTATTCAGTGGCTTAAGGCACATTCCCAAACTAGTCAGTAACACACCTAGTCCTAGAACCGAAATCATGTGACTCTCTTCCTAGTGCTCTGTCATCTCTTACTACAAATTTAACCAAACTGTATAATCTGGCTGGATTTTGATCCGCTTGTTCAAATCAAAGGGCATGAAAGCTACATACTCCAAAGGCAAACTAAAGAAGGGGAATCAAAATAGACCCCAAGAGTTCTTATTTCTAGTAAAATTTTCTCAAATATTTTCCCATAACAATTTTCTAGGTTTCCTTTTAATGCTGTAGAAATCGAAAATACTGGCCTTGGCTGGTGTGGTTCAGTGGATTGAGCACCGGACTGTGGACCAAAGGGTCACTGGTCTGATTCCTGATCAGGGCACATGCCTGGCTTGCAAGCCAGGTCCCCAGCTGGGAGTATGACAGGGCCATCCGATCGCTGTTTCTCGTACACATCACCTTTCTCTCCCTTTCCTCCCTCCTTTTCCCTCTCTCGAAATATAAATAAATAAATAATTTCTTTAACAAATACTTGTAGCTTAAGAATTCATCTCAGTTTCTCGAGATTGATACAGGCCAAATGTCTGTACCAGCACTGTTCAATAGAAATTTCTACAATGATGGATTGGAGATTTTTATAATATCACTGTCCAAAATGCCACTAGCCACATGTGGCTAAAGAGTGCTTGAATTGTGGTTACTACAACTTAGAAGCTGGAATTTTTTATTTTAATTAAACTTAAAGAGCCACATGTATAGAGGCCACCATATCGGATAGTGCAGGTCTAGATAATCCCAAGTGAAAAGAGAATTGGCTGATGAGAGAACGAAAGCTGAGCAGTGTTTCTACGGAGTACCCACCATGTGAAGCAAGTAGGACAGAATGGAAAGCACACACCATTCTTCATTCATGATCTCTGGGTTCCAAATGAAACTATTTACCAGCATTAAGGGATTGATGAAATCATATAATCTATGTTATACATAGAATTCATCTGTGATATGGAGCTAAAAAGTACCTGCCTTTTTGGGGACTGCATGACAATACTGTTTGTGTTTGTATGTAAAAGTACCCTGTAAAACATAAAAAGTCTAGCCTCAGCTAGAAGACTGGATACCAGAAGCAGCAGTCAAGTGATTTGCACATCGCTGTCTCACGACAGGTAAAGCATATAAAGAAAATGGCATCCAAATCACACCAAAAGGTGATTTAATTTGTACACCTACAATCTAGGTTCTTAAAAGCGAACTTTTTAGTTTATTAACAGTCAACTGATATGAATTACAAGGTCATAAGCAATGACAAAAACTTGGCATCCTTCCTCTTAAAGAGGCAAAAAACAACATACTGGCAAGGCTACTGACAAGGTTCCTTCACTGCAAAAGAAAAACAGTAACAATAGCTCTTTACTGTTGGGCCACAGTTCACACCAAAGAATGGCAGAAGTCTAGGGACCCAGAATACGAAAGGATGGCCTATGGCTACTCTACAGAAACATGTAATAATACCGCCTTAAAGGTTACAGAATTTTAAACTTTTTACCTGTTTTCCAGATTATACTTCATGATTCTTATAATAATTCTATTTAGTAAATAAGGAATAGTCTGATACTCTAATAGGCTGAAAAATCATAATCAATATTACAAGCAAGCATATTATTATGTAGCATTTCTTATCATTTATAATGAGGTTAATGTTTATACATACTCCCTTGCTGAAGGAAAACAAACAAAAAAGGTTCTACCAACTCAAATCAAATAGTATATCCCCAGATTTTGATAACAATGATCCAAAAACGGAAAAAATTCTTGTCAAATCCAAGATTTATTTTGAGATGGCATACATTTATCCTTTTAACTCTGATTGAAGAACCAAGCATTGCTATCAATCCAAAGGTAGACAGTGAAAATTCTCTGACCACTGCTTACTGATGACAGCAAGCTATCCAAAAGATGGTTTTACATTTTGTAATTAATTTACCAGCCATAAATGGCAAGTTTTTTTTAATTACCAGCAATATAGTTGAATATTTAAATTTTGAAGTACTGGTTTTCTCATTAGGATAATATCCTTACAGCTTTTTAACCTTAACTTTCTGTGAAAAATATATTTCCATACACATACTTTTTCACCCTAAGGGGTAGTCTCCTTTGGCTATCTTATATGCATTACCATTTTCTTCTTTTTTTCACTTAGGATCCATTTTCAATCCTCTTTCTTCCTAATCCCTCAATTGCCTACTCACAAATCAAAAGTCATAAAATACATACACACACACACACACACGCAGTCTCAAAAGGACGGCTTATGTGATTGTTGTTTTAAGGAAAATTCAAATACTAAAATTTTGAGGCTACAATTCAAGTCATTTTGGTCATGCAATCTGAAAAATTAGAGTTAGGCTAAAATAAACTCTTAAAAAGCAATATTTAAAACAAGGTATTATTTTAGTTTCTGTTTCCCAGAAAGTAAATATTTAATTTATATACATACAAAATAGTTATTAGAACCTTATAAATGTCTACAAAACACATGAAGGTCTCATGTAAATAACTAGGTATCTTCTTTTTCCATATCCAGAAAAACAATCTACGAACAAAGAAATGAAGTGCGACATTACAAAAAAATAGAAGCTGTATCTTTAATGTCACTGTTGTCAAATTTGTATATAAAAGATACACTAAAAGTTGAAAGACTTAGGTACTAAGAGCAAGTCAGGGAGTACAGATGTATAATTCTTTATCTCTGAAGAATCAAGTCTCATGCTCCATTATCCATATCTGACTAAAGAATAAATTCTGTGATTATCCCTTAATTGAAGAAGCAAATTGAGAATTAAGTTTGATTTTTGAAATAAAAATTCACTCAAATGCAGGGGTTTTTAGATCAGGTTTTAGGAACAATATAAAAAAACAAATCTAGGCAGAAGTATCAACAATGTAAATTATAAAATATAAGTCTGCTTATTAAAAACCAATCAATGCACTGTTACCATTAACAAGGTTAAAATTCCAATGACCTAAAATTTTCTGATGTCCAATGGGCCCAACTCCTAAGAACCAAAGAACTATTTTTGTTTTGTGTATTCTTGTTCCCTCACACTTACTGAAGTTCCTATACTATACTGCACTGCATCTGATTATAAAATAGTTTACACTGTAAACAGCAAACATTCAGAGAGGAAAAAGGCATTAAATACCTACAGGAAAATACCCTGTTTCTGTCACTGTGTACATACTTATCTGTAACTAGGCTGGCATTTAAAATTTTACAGGCTATCCAGTAAGAATGCTAAGAGAAAACAGTTGACAAACCTGAAAGAATAGCTTCTTTCAAATATAATAGCATATGGGAGAACTTCCTGATATCATTCACCAATTCCTTGATGTACTCCGGATCAAAAACGTAATTGGTACTTATAGACTTGAGCCCCATTTCAGAAGATGTATCATCGGAAGAGAGCTGGCCTGATGATAAAACACGTTTTTTCTTTGCCTTTTTCTGTTTGTGAGCAATCATCCTTTCACATAAGAGTCAGAAAAATCAAAATCCTTAAAGGGGTGAGAAAAAAAAAAAGAGAGAGAAACACAACACTACATCAACCAGGGGGAACATTCTACTAAGTTTTCACAAAAAGCCCATAGCCCACCTCAGTATCCTACTAAAACCAACCACCGCAACAAACACTGTACTGTACTACTACTAAGAGTAGCATCTTGTATTTGTTTGGTGCCAGTAATCCTGACAACTTTGTGATATGCAAACTACTACTCTCTTCATTTCTCTAAAGAACCCAAGGTTTGGAGATTAAATAATTTCTCTAAGCGCTGAACTGGTACTTAGACACATATCTGCTTTGCTACTAAAATCTATGCTCTTAACTCCTAGAGGGTAACAGAATTTTCGTAATTTACAAAACTTTTCCCGAAATGTCACTTAGCGGAAGGGCGTATTATCCCTTCATGAAATATAAGCTTTGGAAAAAGACCTGTTTTCAAAATCCCTCTTTATCACTTACTGTGTGTGACCTGATAAAATGTTAATTACCCCTTTACCTCAGTGTGCTCGTTATAAAATGGGAATAACATCCAGACAATACCTACCCCATGAGATTATTGTAAGCATTAAAAGAGACAGTAGCATGGAAGTGTTCATTCCAACACATAAAAGAAGTCTGATTACATTTAGTTCTCAATAATAATAATACATACCTTTTATGTATTATTACATAATAATGTAATAATATAATAATGTAATAATGTATATGAACAGGTATAATCTAGGTTATCAAGTTTCAGCAAGAACATTTCTTTGTTGAAAACAAGTTGTAAGGGTGCACACTAATCTGACACACCTGGATTGGTTGTACAAATAACTGTATGATTATTGGGGCATTATTTTTAGTAATTTCAGAGTGGTATGCTAAAAATACAACTTTTCTGAATGAAAAAGATTTAGATTTGAATCCTGGCTGAATACTTTTTAAACATGTGACCTGTACAATATGCTTACAGGCTGGGTGCGAGGGTTAAAAGGAGACACAAAAGACTTCATATGTTAAAACACCTAATCCTGGCGCAAAGTTGGAACTCAAGAAAATCTTTGTTTCTGATTCATATTTACACTTTACCTTTCCAGAAGAAAAAGTCCAAGTTTTGTTTGTATCTCTTGGAATCAAAAAGGAAAAATGACTTGTGGAATTAAATCAGCTCAGGCATCATCATTAAAACATTTTTCAAATATTGTGTCTTGAGTATTTGGATACTTCCAAAATGGCAAAATTACTAAGGAATTCTGTAAAATTTACTGTAGAAAAGTTTATGTAATATTCATTTCCAAGTCATGTGTAAGATATATTATTGTGTCATTTACTCGTTCCTGTACCTCACTTAACTCTACATATTTTTTCCCACCTCTATCTCTACTACCACTCTAGGTGAATTATTATCATTTTTTGTCTGAGCTACTGATACTAATTTCCTAACGATCTCTCCACATCATTCTTGGTCCACTCCAAAGTGTGGATTACACTTTTCAAAACCAGAAAACTCTTCCAAAGGACAAGTAAGATGCTATTGTGCACTACAAGGCTGGCTCAGCATGAGATCTGGCTGCTACCTACCTCTGAAATGCCCTCTGGAGTCAAGATTCCTAGTCAACACTCAACACTCCTGAAACACACAACAATGTCTGTGACCCAGAGGAGGAAATAGTTTATATTATGGGCCAGCATACACATTAAGTACGTTATGTTTGTGTGTGGTGTTACGTGTAGGAATGTATAAAACACAAAACAGATTCCAGCTAAGGAGCCAGGTGATATACTCAGATAATTTCTATGCTATCCCATTTCATTTTTTAAAATGCTGGTTGCAACCCACCAAATTGGTTTCATACTCATAATGGGTCCATGATCCTACAACTTGAAAAACACTGTTCAATTTAGGGAGCCTGAGCCACCCCTTTCCCTTTGTTTACTCATTCTTATCTCAGCTCAAAGATCACTTCCTCAAAGAAACCTTCCTGGACCACCCCTTGTCCCCACCTACCTAACCACCATCACCACCACCACCACCACCACCACCACCACCACCAAACTAGAGCAGAATCTCCTATTAGGTGCTTTATAGTGTGTTATACTTTTCATAAACCTTATAAGATTTATAAGGTTCATGTCTTCCTACCTAGATGATAAACTCAAGGAAATCAAGACCGCATCTGTTTGCTAACCATTTGTTCTCTGTTCACAGCACAATATGTGGCATGTGAGGGATGAACTACTCACAGCTATGTGCAGAATGAATAATGAGCTTAATAAGTTTATAGTTTTATTTTTTGTAGAAACAAAAATGGTTAACTACAGATTGTTGCAGTGTTTTGAATAGAAAATATCAATGGTTTTTAAAAATCTGTCTCTAAAACTGTCTTTCAAAAAACAAAACAAGCATATGAAGTTGAGTAAAGGTGAGATTACATAAAACTGAAATCAAAGTTGAATTTCTAGTATTGTTTCTCTACTTCTGATTAAAGCTGTCCCAACACTTCTCTAAAAGTCTTCAAAGTTCTCTATTGAATGGTCTTGTTAATCCCAAAGTATTTCTGAGAACGTAATTTCTACATTTGAACTAATTTCAAATCTATCTAACATTAATCCTTAAATGTGTAGATAATTTCTAAAATGAACGTAGAACAATTTTTAAAGAACTATTATTATACCTAAGTCTCCCCAACAACAAAAAACCCAAAGCACTCAAATGTGTTATTTTGACAGCTCTTTTACAAATCACTAGTTGAGAAGACAATTAACCTAATTTAACACTTTTGCAGCTTACTTAATGAAGTCATTCTAATTTTGATGGCTTTTAGTTTAATATGTTAAAACTGGTCATTGTCACTGGTGAAAAGGTGATTATAAAAATTAAAGACATATCACAGGTTCCATTCACCTATCACAACCCCCTCCCCCCCAAAAAAAATCATCAAGGCATATTAGTAACCCAAAGTTGTAAAGTGTTTCAAAACTTCTTAAACACTTTTAGATAAGGCTAAGAAAACGTGTAAACAAAAAACAAAACACAGTGGAGAAAGAAGCAACTAAAAAGGGTTATAATCTACCTCTAGTCAGCACTATGGTGAGTAATGTACTCACTTTGTTACACATCCTTCACTACAGGTGAAAAAAATTTTAAATAACAAGCTTAATTTAAGCTTTCATAAAATTGAACTATGATTAATAAGAAAGCCTGGAGAATTTACTTTTCAAGATCCTCCAGACTACTTTCCCATATCCCAAAATGACCATCCTCTAGGTGGTGTAACATAAAATGTAGTTAGTAACAGATTGCAACTGGCAATTTAATTAAATGAAGTAATAATATGGAAATCACTTAGCACAGTGCCTGGCTCATCATGATGACTCATTAACTGCTAGTCATTATTTCTAGCAATGCTTTATTGTGGGAGATTATTTTTTTAACACAAGAAATGAACAAGATACAACAATATATAAGTAGATGTGAATAAGAAATATAGGATTAGGAATAATTCCAGAAACTTAATTGACTTCCTGGAAATCTACTAAATTGTTTCCAAGTGAAGTCTGAATTGTGCAAATAGGTTGTTGAGCATAATATGTTAAACTCTCCTAATGCATTCTCATGTATAGCTTTTAACTCCAAACCATGAACAACATTCAAAATGTGTTGTATCCACTTCTGAGAGAACTTTGTAGCAAACAGTAAATTACTGTACAAAACTTTCTCTGTTCTGTTCTAAATTACGAGTAATATGTGCATTATAAACCTGAACACTAACCTCCAGTACCCTGGAACGTGGCTTTTCCAAGACTTCGGTAGCCTGTGTTCATGTCTTGTGCCCCTTTTACTTCCTCCCACCCCCAAATGTATCATTACAGAAGTATTTTCATTTTAGGCACTGGATTAATTGAAGTATAAAACTGCCCCAAAGAGCTGTACTTAATAATTCTCATCTTACTCTTTCTACTTCAGGAAAAAACTGCCAGTTATTTCAGAAATCTGCTATTTCAGCACAATTTCTGATTTGGTAAGAATCTACTTTAAAATGCAAATAAATCAGAAAAAAGTCATTCTGGAAGTTTTTATATTTTTAAAAAACACTCTCCACAAAAAGAGGATGGGGGCACGTCAAAAGTTTTAGCAATATGCAAATAAGTGTAATTTCTAAAGAGAGGCATGCAATACACATAAACTTCATTCCTGTGCAGTTAGAAAGCAGCACGTTTAAAAAAGAGGAAGCTGCACAACCTCCCACGCCTCCAGAATGTCTAGCATTCCTGGTAGACAGGGCTCTCCCTTGACCAGCCCAAACTACCCAGTGCCAAAGAGCGTGTTCTCCAACCCAGGATTTCAAAACAAAGTAGGAAAATGGAGCAAAAAGGGTGGTAATCACTGATAGTGAGGGACCACAGATATCGTCACCGAGACAGCTGGAGAACGGGGAAGGGGCACTCGGCTCTTTCTCCACCCGCTAAGAGTCCAGCCCTCCGAAAAGGTATGAGGCCAACTCCTTCTTGAGAAACAGGGATTAAAAAAAAAAAGAATAACATGGAGACATGAGGCGTCAGTTACTAGGGCTCCAACCTGAAAAGTCTCTGACTTGAGCTCACCCGCCAAAAAAAACTTTTTTAAACAAAACCCCAAAATACCGTCAAGCCCCAAATACTTGCAGAATTAGGAAAAACCACGGGGGCGGAACGAAACAACCCTCCTCAACCCAAAGACAGAGAAGAGGAAAACAATGCACCACGGAAATCCCAAAATATCTCGGGAATGAGAGCCAGCTGAAGTGAGGAGGGCTGTTGTCAGGGCAGGTGGCAGCAGGACGAGAGCAGGAGCTAGAGCAGACTATGTAACGGTCAAGAGTGCAGATTCTGAAGCAAAATTGCCTGGGTTTAAATCCGCACTCCGCTAATTACTGGTCATATTCCAGCAGGTTTTAACCTCCGTTTCCCCGTGTGAAAAAAGAGTGAAGTAATCTCGGACTCCTGAGGATTAAAGAAGTTAAACAGGGA